TGATATATTCAGAATATCCTTATTTTTATTTTAATTGTTTTTGAAATTCTATTAAATGATTATCTGTAATCATAGTTTTTAAATGATAGATTGTCATACATTTAGAAAATTTCAAAGCCAAAAATAATGGATGTTTAATCTATAATTAATAAAATTAAAACTAATACTTTATTACGTATATTAGGAGCAGTTAGATAATTGTGTAATCCATTTTCATTATTTTCTATAGGTGCTTAAATAACATCATTAAAATGTTTCTCTTTTTTACAAAAATTCCTTTCTAAATATTTAGGTTCAAATGGTTGAATAAATTATGTTTATCTATGTTCATCTCTTGCACTTTTTCTACTATCTACAAATACAGGAGGAGATTCAAGTGCAGTTATAATGCAATTTTAACTTTTCAACAAAAAGATCAATTGAAACTTATGTCCTTAATGGTTGTAAGTTGTACTGTTAAATTTAACACCCTAAATAAAAAATCGATTAATGAAAATACTGAAAAAAAAGCTTTGCCATCCACTAACTCTTATTATGTAATTCCCTCCAAACCTACTTCTTCATAGAGTCCATCTTGTTTTAGTTTTACAGCCATCAATTAAGCCTAATTTAAAATTTGAAAGCTACTTAACAATCTATCCATTAAGGTGTATCTTCATTTTAAAGATGTAATTTAATTGATAGATTTGGTATATTCCAACTTTTATGCCAATTCCATCCTAAATCATTTGAGAATTATAATTCTCTTTCAGTATCAATTTTGAGATACACAGGACCTTATTTTGGTGCAACAGTAGGTTTAAGATCAATGAGACAAGTCTTAGTTAACACTTGGGAAACTGTAGGAGACCAAGTAAAAGATTTTTTATGATATGCCATTTAATGCAAATGGAATTTAAAATAATTTTTAAGATATTCATTTTCATTATTTTTATTTATTCATTAAATTGTCAATAATACTTATACATTTCTTTAAACAATAGTTATCTGTATATGTCATTTAAACCATTCTAGCTGCTTCAAGTATTTCATCTCCTAAAATATTTTCATGATTTCCATATTAAATAATAATTTTAAGATTTCTTAAATATAATCTTCTTTCATTTTCAGTTCCATCATGTATTTATCTTATTGAAATTTATTATAATATTTTAAAATCATTAACATAAAAGAAATCCTTATCTAATTTCATTATTGTTTCAATAAAGAATAATGGTTTAGAAACATCATTTTTAGTATGATTTAAATATTCTAATAAAAATTCTTAAAAGAATCTAGCATTCTAATGTTAAATAATAATTAACACAATATCTTGATTATCATGAAATACAAATAAGATTTAAATAAGAACACTAAAAATTTCAGGATTATCACTTTATCCAAAATAATTTAATATATTGTTAACAAGTTGTAATTATTATTTGTTATTTAATTGTTTTATTTGATGATGATAATGATTATCATCAAAAGATATTACTAATAATTATAATCCACTTTCATTCCATTAATTGTATTCTATTTCACAAATATAATGCACTAATATTTTGGCTGTCATCTTTGTTTCTTTTACTTCTTTTACTAAAATATTAGGATTAATATCATAAATCTTACTAAAATTATCTAATAAATTTCATTTAATACATCAATCCTTAAAATGCATTTAATACATACTATTAATCATCAAAATGATCTCCTATATTTAAAATTAATTCATGTATAATTGATTATTCTCCTTTGTTTAATTAATTCTCTAACCAATCAAATGTTTCATCTGTAATCTCTTTTGATTTCAATTCTGTTAAAAATGAAATCATATTTTATTTAGAGTCCATATAATTTCTAAATTAATTTTAAAGAATAAATCAATTTTTTTATTACTCTATAAGTTATTCATTTTAGAATAAGATAATTTATAAGATCTCTCTGATATTTTTAACTATGATTTATGACAAAAATAATAAATAAGTCATATTCTAAATTATCACAATTTATCTGTCATTTCTATATTGTCAAACACAAATGTATGGACTTTATAAATACAGATAGGAGCTAAAATGAAACTAAATAAAAATCCTAAGCTTTCCATTATTGATAGGAATACCAATCCTCCTTCACCTTAATCTCCAAAATATGCTGCTCTTACAAATCCATTCCAACCCAAAGCATCAATTATACTTACTATTAACCATAAAATTCCAGCCACCAACTTAATTTATTTTTAATAGATTACATGTAAAATCTTGTACCATTTTAATAAAGATTAATCAGCACATAGTCCTTTGTATCCTCTATAAAATATGTACATTTGAATTCCGTTAAATATGAAAATGTTGAGGAATCCATATAATATTCTGATTTTAGGATATCCTACTCCTGCTTAAATAAAGCTATCCAATAGATTCAAACATGTTGTGCCAAATATTAATAGATATGAAATATAAAGAAGTCGTGCTAATGATTTATACGGATCTTATAATTCACTCAAATCGAAATGAAAGATCTTAATAATAGGAGGCCAATTAAAATCAGTCCAATTTATATCAGGTTGATTGGATTTTTTGCCTATAATTGCTGCCTAATATTTTTACATTTTTGATAATAATAATAATTATTTTTATATTATAATACTTTAATCTAATAGTTGCATACAAGACTAAATATAATATATATATTTTCTATAAATGAAATAAAAAGTAGTCTTTGAATAGCCATGTCCAAAATTAGTAAATGAGTAATAATATGTTATTTATATAGTATACCTTTATTTGAAAGTGATAGCAAAAATTATTGGAGGAAAATAAGGAATGTTTGTCTTTCAGTTCGATTATTTTAAATGCCTCTTATCAAATCGATATCATCTCCTGTATATTATTAAAACATAATTAAAGGATGAAGTGACTTTCAATGCTAATTAAACTAAATTTAGATCTTGTTCTTGTATAGGTTATATGAATAAGGAATAATAAATTGCAAAACAAAGAGCTGATGATGATTTAAGTGATGCTTTGAAAGCTATTAAGAGAGAGAGAGAACTATTTTATTATGTTGAGAAAGGTAGTTAAATTGATCTAATTGAAAAGATCATAATGAATGATCCAAAAAGGTATAATATAAATATATAAAAGATATCTTTATGAACCAACAAGTCCACTTAGACTTGTAAATAAAAAGAATTCTTCTGGATTTACACCATTATATATAGCAGCAAAGAATGGATTTGAGGATGTTTGTAAAATCTTAATTTAATATGGTGCTGATTAAAATATTTCAGTATAAGTAATTTAGAATTGGAACTATATTTAGGTTAATTAAATTGATGATTATCCATTAGTAGCTGCACTTCGATGGAGACATTTTGAAGTGATTGAACTATTATTGGCTAATAATCCAAATGAAAAAGTAAAAATATTATGTTAATAATCAATTGATAAGAGTATAAGATAGAAATACTCTAAACATTTTTGAAAATGTATTCATATGGTTACTTATTTTCTATATGTATTTATTTATTTAAATTAATATAATAATACTCTTCATATTCATTTAATAAATAAACTCATGAAAACAATCATATTCATATTCATTTTAATAACAATTGTAACATCAACTCCATCAACATGTTCAGATGCTTTGACAATGTAAGAATGTACATCAATAATTAATGGAATGTAATACTTTTTTTAATTAATAATAGTCATGAATGTATTTGGTATGAGAATTAATGTTAATTCAAAACATGTTAAAATTCTTAAATTCCTTGTAATGGATAAGTCTATTAAGGGGAACTCTGTTCAAATACTAAATAAGGATGTTAATCAGTCAAATAATGTTCAGATATTGATAATTAAGAATCATGTTCTATTCTCAAACCTTAAGGAATAGAATGTTATTGGGATTAATAATGTATAATAAAGAATTGTTCACATAATACTTAATCAAATTGTAAATTAACTAATGATGAAAAATGCATTTATTAAAATCACAAATGTTCATCAATTAATTCATGTTCTGATATATTTGAAAAATCAAGTTGTTTGGTATCTTAAATATAAGGATTAACTTGTATTTGGATGAATGATAGATGTATTACAAATTCTTGTAAAGCAATTTTAACTAAAGTATTTAATTAATATTATATATTTAGGAAGAATGTTTTTAAAGTGTTAGAAATTCAGAAAAATGCTTTTTTACTCAAAATTAAGATGATACTAATTATTGTTTAAGTTGTTCTTAATTGACTGAATAATGTTAATGTAATTAATATACACTTTTTGGTTGTGAATGGTAAAATGACTCTTGTTTAGAAGTTTCATGTAATACATATTCAAATGAGAAATAATGTGCTGATGATAAAGAATGTATTTGGTATAAACCAATGAATAAATGTTTAACTATTGAAGAAGCATTAAATAATGACAGAGCTTGCGACATTTATATATCTAGTTAGATTTTAAACATTTGTACACTCTTAATTCTAATAATTCTTTGGTGATTTATCAATATTATTATTTTTATATTATAAATTAATATATATTTATAATATTTGTTTTTAAGAATATATTTAAATTTAACTACTTTTATAATCTTCATATATGTTTAAATTTAATTAATAGTTTATTATGTGACACTTTCATTATTTTAAACAAGATAAATTCAATGATATTAAAAATAAAAGTAAATAAAAATACTATTTTACTCATTTAAAATCTTTTTTAAGTTTATGTTCATATTCATATATAGAAACTCTATTATATTAGTACCTACTCTTATAAATATTATTTCTTTAATCTTTATATAAATATAGAATATTTATTATTAAAAAATAAATATAGAATATTTATTAGTAAAAAATAAGTGAAATGTTTCTATTCTATTATTTTTACTATAATATATTAATAATAATCTCATTGGATAGAATAACAGAATGTAGTCTATTTTAGTCATAAAGGAGTTTAGTATTATAAATATTAAATGAAAAAAATATAAATATAATAATTAACATGAATCATTCATTTTAAATTGTACCTTCAGATAATTTTTTGAATATTCTGAATCAAAACAATATTTCTGTTGTAGATATAGATGATGAATACAGAGTCGAATAAGATTGGATGTTTGAGAATGAGAATAATTATATTGAAGAATAACATGAGCCAGAATAACCTATTTTGTATGAACGATCTAAAGCCCTTGTAGGAAATCAACTATTGTAAAAGTTAAAGAAAACTAAAGAAGAAGATCTTTTAAAACAAAATAAAGAAGTTTTTTAGGTTAATCAATCCAAAAGTCTCTATCTAAATAAAATATAGTAATTAATTGATAATCCTGCTGTTGTAAGCAAGCCTAAGCAGACGTATAATTGCTTTATCCACTTAGTCGTCAGAAAGTAATTGTTGAAAGCGACTCATCAGATGGAAAGGGTAGATTGGCTAAAAATAGAGAATCAGCAAGAAATTCTAGAAAAAGAAAAAAAATATATGTAGAATTATTAGAAAATAAAGTAAAAGAGTTGACAGAGTAAATCAAATAATTGGAATCCAATTTATAATAATATAAAATAAAAAATCTATAAGTAAATCCTTATATTATATATTATTTAGCTTGAAAGTTTTAGAGAAGATTATCATAAATAATTATCTTAATTGAATGGATTATAAAGTATTCAAATATTACAAGAATAATATGGTGCCACATCATAAAAACGATGGAGTGTCTGTACTGAATTAATTAATCTATTGATTGAGTCTACAATTCCTATAGAAATTAAAAAGTTAATGGAATCTGCTAAAAATGGAACAGATATGTTTATTAAACCACTATTGAATCATAATTCATGTTTGTAATACAGAGAATATTTTTAATAAGGAATTATTGATTTAGAGATGTAAGCTATTATTTAAATTGAGAGCAACAAAGAATTTTGGATTATCATATGATAAGATAAGAGAATAAGTATTCTACTTAGAGAGATTAAAATTAGAAGTCATATAAACAATAGGAGCTAATTAATTCATCGAGTACTTAAATTAATAGCTTTGTTGATTCTTCAATAATTTATAAAATGAAACCATTTGATTTTTAACCTAAATAAAATAATATTTCCATATAAATTATATATTATATGACATTCTAAATATTTATTTATAATAATAAATTTAGTATACAAAAATATTAATAGATTTACACTCTTTTGATAAATTTAACAAACTATAAAATAGTACCTATATTTTGAATAACAAAATTTCAATAAAAAATTCAAAAATACTCTTCTACAAATTTGTAGACATTAAAATTCAAATAAAATTGTTTAGATTTCTAATAAAATAAACTTAAATTGATGAATAATTCTTCAAAGTTTTTGATTAGATTTAAGACAATATTTAGTCAAGATTATGTAAAATTGATATAAATATATTCTATTTTTTATTCATTATGAATTACTTAAAATATAATAAAGTTATTTTAATTTTAGATTCCATTATGAGTATTATCAGTGATTATTAATAACATTATTTCATTTATCTAATATTCTATTGAGTTATATTTCATAATTAATACAAGTAGATTCATTTGTATATGAATTATGACTTATATTTATTCCATTTAATAAATTAATGGAGTAAAATACAAAGTCTAATTAAGAATATGTAATCGCATTTGATTATTTTAGTTTAAAAAACTGAGACTAATCCAGAAGAAAATGGAAGATGTTAAAGCTGATCAAAGTCCCAGTGTTATTAAGTATATGATGAGAAGAAAGAGTACTGAAGAAGTTTAAGCTCCTTTACATGATGTTGAATACAATAATTAACCAAAAAAGAAAAAATTACTATTCTTTAAAACTTTTTAAAAAGTGACAATAGATCCTCATATAAAATTGGATGAAATTAATGAAGAGAAATGGACAATCATGACTAATAATTATAAATCACTCATAGAGAAATCTCGTTAAAGTCTAATAAAACAAAATGAAGGTGGTTAAAGTGTAACAACAACAAATAAAGAACCACGTAAAATGTAGTTCCTTACAAGGAGATAGTCTATTGAATTTCGCTTACGTGAAATAGCTACTACTCCTAGTAATCATTCTTCAGTTTCACCTTTAAAATTAATTACTTAACCAAATGCATAACCATCAATTGATCCAAGTTATAATAGATTCAAAAAATATTACTAAAAGATAGGTATTCCTTCAGATAGTCCAATAAAATTAAAACTTTAAACAATGATGTCTACTCCAATTGCTCCTTAAAAAAAGAAAGATAAGAGTTCACATTCTAACAATTCCCCAAATCATTCTCCATCTCCTCCTAAATCTAAGATTCTGCATATCAAAGCAAATAATCATAACTAATATCTTAAAGAAATTAGAGAAATATGTTAAATTGCATCTAATTATCATGCATAAGTTAAATAAGATGAAAAGAATCAAATTTAACATACAAGTTAATAAGTTGGATACATTTAAGCTGAGTTTAATAAATTTCATAATATGTTGACATCTGAGTTAGAAACTGTAGATTTTATTGATGAAAAAAAATGATTATTATAAATTATGAATTAATTACTATATTAATTTAACAATTGGATTCACATATGAATAGATGCAAATAAATTAAATTAATTTAAGAACAAAAATAATAAAGGATAATAAAAATTTTGAGATTTCTATTATTAAATATGAGATTATAAAACAAATATTATAAAGATAATCAATAAAGATCTAAAAAGTAATAAATAAGAATAAATAATATATTTATCATCTAAAATTAATAAAAATGAAGTAAATATATTTATAATTAATTATATTAGTTAAAGAAATTGTATTAGAAAGAATGAAATATATATTAATATTCATTAATCTAAATTCCTAGAAAAATTTGATTAGAATTCAAAGTACTTGTAATATTAATAAATAAAATTATTTAATACTTATTATGTCAACCCTAAATGTGCATATAAACTTGAATCACTATCAATTGATTTTATAATAGGAGAAAACCAATAAAAATACTTATCAATTCCAAAAAAAAGAATTTCCTCATGGTCCAATTAATTTTTATGAGCAAAGGTTTAACTCAGTTAATTTTTCAAATACAAAAATAAATGAAGTAATTGGATGGATTCTTATAATTGCTGTAATCCTATTTATGGTTATGATGACTATATCTTTAATTCAAGATTCTATAGTTGGATTTGCCATTCCATTATTATCAGTTGTTACATTCTTCATAGTTTATATAAATTGGGTATCTATGAAATTTTTTGTGAACTCATGAATTTGATTATTTTATTTTGTATTGATTCAAAATGCTAACTGTCTAATATAAATAATATTTAGTTTATTGATTTTCATATATGTAACATATTCTAATAATTCTTTGTCTTTTTCATAATTAAATGAAGGGTAGATTTGTATTAATGATATTAAATAGATATGATTAAAATAAAGTGAATTTAAAATATAATTTAATATAATAATGATTTATTCCATAAATTAATATAGGTGTTTAAATTTCGGATGATCATTGTATTTATTTAATAATAAAATAAAATTAAACAAAGATGATGGGAGGTTGGGCAGTAGTAGAAGTGGAAGAGAGACACCACTAAGTTTTAGGAGTTGTTCATCATGGTATTAATCAACATTTGGGATCTAATCATTAAACTTTTACAATTATTGAAGTACGTCATTAAATTGTTGCTGGAACAAACTATTAATTCATTGTTGAAACAGAAGATCACAAGAGAATTTAAGTGAAAGTGTTTGAACCATTACCTCATACAAACTAACCAGCTCATGTGACAGCTGCTGTTTATTTGTGATTCCATAAATAAATATATACATTCATTTATATTCAATCTCATGTATTGGTTATCTGAAAGATTCTTTACTAAATTCTTCAAATTTAGTTAAAGTCTTCTGAGGTGACAAGGATTCTATAAAATATTAAGATAATCTTAAATGGGCAATAGTGATTTATAAAATTTTATTAAGATTGTTTAATTTGGTAAACATCTTTAATTCAAAGGGCATCTTATAAACTAAATCAGTTGTGCATAAATGTTATGACCCTTTGATCATAATCACTAATTTTTTTGATTGTGCATTAAAAACAATACTGTATCTTTGTGGAGTTTCATTCTCTTTTCGTAATCTAAATGTCTCACTATTAACACTCAATAAAGGCACTGATAATTTAATATTTAAAGTATCTTCTGAGAATGGTAAAAACCATGGATCAAATAATATAATACCTGCAGTTATTCTTTTATCTATTTATGCTGTACGATGAACTGTTGCAGCTCCAAAGGAATGACCTGCACCAATTATCTTATTTAAATCAACATTCTATTATTAATATACATAATCCAATAATGATTGATATTTAATAACTCTGTCATTTAATTATTAATGTCTAATCATTTTTACTTTATTTAAAATCTATTATCCTAATTAATTCTCTAAAGTAGCTTCTCCAGTTTTATATTGATGAATCTCTTTTTCATTTAAAATTATTGTTACTTCTTCTTGTTATATAGAATATACTTGATATCCATTGCTTGCCCATTCCTTATAAAATACAGAATAATGATCTTTCAAACCTCCTAATCCATTTGAAAAGACAATTGTTGGTAATTTACCTTCAATAATAGGTGAATCAACTTCAATATCTTCTACTTTCACTTTATTTAAGAATCCTAACATCCAATAAATAAACATAATAGGAGGTCTCCAATGCATTACATGTTAAAAATCATTGTAAACTTATTTGATATAATCTCTATTTCTACAAGAATTTATGGATCTAATTTTAGATTTCTAAAGAGTTGGATAATATATAGAAACCATATCTCCATTCTTTAATTTTATTTCCTTAAATCCTATTAAATATTTCCCACTTGGTTTAGGATATTTATATTATGGCATTACCATTACTAAAAATATATAGCCAATTTAAAACATTAAGCATATAAATACCATTATGTATGATTAATGAGATGAATATTTTGATATTATCAAAGTGATATAAGCTGGTATCAATAGATATATAGTAAGTCTCATTTTTTGGCATTTAATCATAAATAGGATTATGAATGCTGTTGAAAAAATCATCTAAGATTTCTCAGTCAAATCTATCTAAACATTATAAATCAAAATCAAAAGTAGATCATTCATAAAACTACCCAACATTAGAATAGCCAATGCCATTTCTAATAAAGGTACATCTTATTGTTAGAATTCATATGGATATTTCATAATTCTTTGTTCTTAAAATATTTAATAATCATTTATATTCCATAAATAATATTCATCTATCCATTCATATAATTATATTCACTTCTTCTCTATATTAGATAACATTTTCATTTATTAATTAATGTATTCAATTCCTAAATAAATTAAGAATATACTTAGAATAGAAATTATACTCATAATAATCTTGATCATTATGAATATCACTTTATATTTCTTAAATATTGCTGAGAATAATATAAAGACTTGTTCATTATCATTTAATGCTATAGAAACATGTTTTAACTTTGAAAATTAATTAATGTATAAATAAAGAATGACTAATACTTAATGTGATTATTTTAGTATGTTATTANTTCTATTATTAATATACATAATCCAATAATGATTGATATTTAATAACTCTGTCATTTAATTATTAATGTCTAATCATTTTTACTTTATTTAAAATCTATTATCCTAATTAATTCTCTAAAGTAGCTTCTCCAGTTTTATATTGATGAATCTCTTTTTCATTTAAAATTATTGTTACTTCTTCTTGTTATATAGAATATACTTGATATCCATTGCTTGCCCATTCCTTATAAAATACAGAATAATGATCTTTCAAACCTCCTAATCCATTTGAAAAGACAATTGTTGGTAATTTACCTTCAATAATAGGTGAATCAACTTCAATATCTTCTACTTTCACTTTATTTAAGAATCCTAACATCCAATAAATAAACATAATAGGAGGTCTCCAATGCATTACATGTTAAAAATCATTGTAAACTTATTTGATATAATCTCTATTTCTACAAGAATTTATGGATCTAATTTTAGATTTCTAAAGAGTTGGATAATATATAGAAACCATATCTCCATTCTTTAATTTTATTTCCTTAAATCCTATTAAATATTTCCCACTTGGTTTAGGATATTTATATTATGGCATTACCATTACTAAAAATATATAGCCAATTTAAAACATTAAGCATATAAATACCATTATGTATGATTAATGAGATGAATATTTTGATATTATCAAAGTGATATAAGCTGGTATCAATAGATATATAGTAAGTCTCATTTTTTGGCATTTAATCATAAATAGGATTATGAATGCTGTTGAAAAAATCATCTAAGATTTCTCAGTCAAATCTATCTAAACATTATAAATCAAAATCAAAAGTAGATCATTCATAAAACTACCCAACATTAGAATAGCCAATGCCATTTCTAATAAAGGTACATCTTATTGTTAGAATTCATATGGATATTTCATAATTCTTTGTTCTTAAAATATTTAATAATCATTTATATTCCATAAATAATATTCATCTATCCATTCATATAATTATATTCACTTCTTCTCTATATTAGATAACATTTTCATTTATTAATTAATGTATTCAATTCCTAAATAAATTAAGAATATACTTAGAATAGAAATTATACTCATAATAATCTTGATCATTATGAATATCACTTTATATTTCTTAAATATTGCTGAGAATAATATAAAGACTTGTTCATTATCATTTAATGCTATAGAAACATGTTTTAACTTTGAAAATTAATTAATGTATAAATAAAGAATGACTAATACTTAATGTGATTATTTTAGTATGTTATTATAATCTTTTTATACTTTTTTATATATATTTAAAATTCCCATAAATTAAAATTAAATTGTCACCATTCATAATTCTATTTGTAGAATCCTTAATAAATTGTTTTATATGCATATTATTAAAAATAGATTAAATCTATACAAATAATTATTTGTGTGTAATAAATAAGAAAGAATCCTAAATGTAAATTTAACTCTTATTATGATTATATAAAAAGTATCATTTATAAATTACTAAAATTATATAAAGTGAAAAGAATTTTAGTTTTTATTTAGAAAATATTAAATTATATTAATGAAATTTTTGCTTATTCCTGCCACAATTTATTTTTTTGTAACAGGATGGTACTTGTTCATTGAAGCTAAATTGCCATATTATCCTTTTTAACATATACTTGAGTTTACTCCAAATGTATAATAAATAAGCCTAAATCATATAGCATGCTATCTAGGCATTGTTTACAGTTGCATTAGGCTTATGTATAGTGATTGACATTAAAAAGCTTCTTATGGCTTTTGTATTAATTGGTGTTGTAGATCTTTCATTGATTATTCGTTATTGTGTTAAATTAGAAATGCAGGAACTTAGTGAAGGCTTATAGCAGTATTAATATTAAAAATAGTTTAAAGTATTGGATATAAAACAATTTTATTGGGAATCATAATTGAAGCTATGAGAGATACAGTCATTTATGAATAACCTGAAAAAAAAAAGAAAAAGAAGAGAAAAGTAAAGAAAATGGTTGAAATTGAAGTAGAAGAAGAGGTTGATGAAGATGAAGTAGATGAAACATAAAAACTTAATACTAAATAACCAGAAGAATCCAAAACATCTCCAACAAAAAAAAAGGAGAAAAAAAGCAAAATGTGATATAAATATATAATTATGCAAAAAAAAAATGTTTGGATATATATATATCATTTTTTTACTTGTCTTTATTTAGATTATAAATTGTTGGATATAGTAAATTCTCTTTTCATTTAATTTATTTATGGAATATCTTCATCACTACTTTCATTTTCATTTTATTTTTTCTTAAAAATTTAAAAAACATCTTTAGTCATCTAAATTAATTTATCTTTATAATTAATGCAATTAGCTGTTGAATCTACTGATGTAATTCCGACAACATTAACACTTGATCTTCTCAATTATGATGTAGGTCTTAATTTTGAATCTTATATAGAAAATTCACATAGATCTTTTCTTTCAGATAGAGATTCTTAAAGTTTTTTATTACTTAAACTTTTATTGAAAATTTCTAAACAATCCTTATACTATAAATAAAATTCTTTATAAATAACATGTTGTTTATTAATACTCTACCATTTTTCTTCATAATTTTAATTTGCTCTAATTAAAGTAGCATTTATTGATAATGTTTCATTATATTTTCTTTAAAGATCTTCATATTGAATTTTCAATTAATCAAATAATATTTTAGAAGCATCATAATTGTTTTTCAAATACTTATATTCATTTATCCATTTTATTAGTTCTTCTTAATGATTTAAATCTTAGTTCTTTTATTATTTCATATTGATTTGTTATAAAGTAAATGCTTAAATTTATTGAGCTCTCTTTAAATCTAATTTTGGCATATTGTGCTAAGTAAAAATGGTCTCTCAATATTAATTCATTTATACATTTATTTGAATGAATTCTATCTTCCATTGGAGATGTACAATCTTTATCTGAATCATCTTCATCAATTTAAACTAATTTCTTTTAGACTTCAATTAACTAAGAGATATATTTATCTATATTTTTGACTCCTTGACTTGGTTACATCTTTAATCTACATATTTCATTAGAAAGAGTCTAAAATTAAATACTTTTGTTTTACAAAATTTAACTAGATTAAATCATTTTTAGATTCTTATAACTTGTTCATTTTCATATGAGCTAAAGCTAATTGAATCTTATAATTCTCAATCTCTTATTATAATCTTAATGTAGCTTCATTCAAATTCACAATCTAAAAAAATGTATTATATTTTATACTTATTTATACTTTATTAAATAACCCTGATTTTGAGGATCGTTTTCATAAAGATTTAAGTTTTAACATGACAATTCATAATATTTGATTTGTTCTTGAAATTGTTTAATTCTTTGTTCTGATTCTTTCAGAATGAAATCACTCTCCTATTGAGTTACTTAGAGTATCTATTCTAAAATAAGAACCTAAATTACATATTAAATTACCTTTGATACAGCTTCATTCCTCTCATTAAGTAATTTTGTTATTTATTATTTCAAAAGTTCTTATTCTGATTGCATAACACTCAATAGCATTTTCATATCAGTTCGTCCATTAATTAGACTTTAATATTACTAGTTTATGTTTATTTATTCTTCTAATCTTTAGTTTAAATTTTAGATTTCCTAACTTAAGTAATCTATTTTCAACTTAGAAGAATCACATTGATCCATTTTATGATATTTAATTTAATAACATACTACAACAATAAAAATTATATTAGCTAAATCATAATATATACTAATCAAAGTATTCAAATATCAGATATAACCCTAAAATTAACGATCTATTTTAAATTAATCAAATATTTATTCACAAACTAAATCATTCATCTAATCTTTCTATTATCTAGTAATTAAAATTTAAGATTTATTCTTAAATAATTATCGTTAAACTTAATAAAGTATATTTTATAATCTAAAAATCATATAAATTAAAACTGTCCTCCTTTTTTTATTTTATAAACCAAAATTAATTGTAAATTCTTATTTAAAATACTTTAAATTACTAATTATAGTTATTAACAAAATATTTATAATAAAATGATAATTGAAAAATTGAGAGGAGGAGGCTGTGGTACAACTAAAATAGAACCATAACCAATATCTTTATTGAAATAAACAGGATAATAAAAGTCAAATCTCTTAGAAGATCTTAGAAAGTATAGTAAAATTATATCAGAAAAATCATCAACTGTTTTTGATAAAGCATAATGTGATGAAGTTATGATAGCTATTTAATGGTTTAATTTTAATAAAGAAAATTTTAATCAACTTTGTCAAAATGATAAATAAGTAATCTAAGCTTTTGATATTGTATTATATTCACTTGATTAAGTATTGAAAGAAATTTCAGTTTATTTAAGAGCATCAGGATTTCTTTGTCTTTAAATTTTATAAATTTGCAATGATCTATTTAGAATAGTATTTTCAGTTTTACTGAAAAATAAAGATAGATTTATAGAAGATTAATTCAAGCAATAAATATTGGAATATCTATCAGAATTTGAAAACAATTTGAAAATAGAATCTTAAAACATTTGGATAACTGGTGCTGAATTTGAATTGATTATTATGTAAGCATGTGTTGAAAATTGCAGAAGTAATTCTTAAAAAGGTTAAGAACTCTTGATCAACTTTATGTCAGGATTAGTATCTTCATTTATGTCAATGTCACCAACAGAAGACTTAATTTATTCATTAATTGAAGGGGCAAAATATATATTAACTGCTTTACATAAGAAAATTGAAAATACTATATAATTATACGAAATTTATTACTTTTTTGAATCCTTAAAATGGTTGATTATTAATTAATTAAAATAGTAGTAATTCTCTGTTAAAAGTTAATTAAATTAATTGATGGATGGATATAATAAATATATAGCTAATTCTAAAGATTGGTTAATCCACTTTTGTTGGTTAAAACTTATTACAGATTTACTTACTTATCGTCCAATTATTAATAAATTTGATTTCTTTCAAACTTAAGATTCAATCTAATAATAATTAAATTGGAATAAATTAGTACATGCAAAATTATTAACTCTACTTTCATATAATAGGAATGAAGCTAAAATTAATTTATTTAATGATTATTAATCAGATGCTATCTTAAAATAATTTGAAAATTAATTCTAACTTTTAGGTTTTAATAAAATTAGATAATTTTAAAAGTATTTAATAGAAGAAAAAGTATTTTAAAATTAAACTATCTATGAATCTTATTGTTAATTTACTTTTAATTAAAAAAATAACAATAGACATTTTCATACATTTCTAAGTAATCTTAATGTTGAAAAATGTTAAAATACATTGATAATTATTTAGAAAATTACTTCAGATCTTAATATTTTATTTTAAGAATTCTAATAAAATTTTAACATTTTGATTGAAAATAATGGATAAACAAAAAATAATATTTAATTACAATAAGATCATTGTGTATCTATTGTTTCTTAATATGAATCAAATGCTTAAAGTTTGATATTTCTTATATTTGAAAGTTATTCTCAGTTATTAACATTAGCTAATGCTTGCTAATTATCTATATCTAATTTAGATATGACTAAAATTCCAGTTGATAAAAAAAATATCATTATGAATTAAATTTAAATTATTTTAGATAATTTTGGAGAAGTCTATTATTAACTGATATATGATATATAATCAATTATGATTCATTAAAATGAAGTAATAAGTAATCACTATATTAATTTCTAAAATACTTCATATATTCATGTAAAACCAACATAATAGTTCAATACTACAAAATTTAACAGTTCAATCATAAAATATATAGAATATTCATCTAAAATTATTAATAATTTAATTCTATTTATTGAATAATCAAATTAATTAATTTCTTTTAAATCTAATTAATAAGGAGATTATTAAATTATTGATAATTAATTATTTAGTCTGATCAATAAATTAATATCGAGAGATTTTTTGAATAATTATCTTAAACAATCATTATTGATATTTGATAAAATCCAATAGAATCAAAACGAGATTTTACTTATTGATTAGATTAAACTTAATTATAATCTTCAATATTTGATAAATGGTATAATATCTTAAATAAAAATTTATGAATATTAAATCTGTAAAGTAGAATTAGCAATTAAATCTACACTTAATTTAAATCAAGAAGATATAACAAAAGTGAATATATCATAATAATATAAAGAAGTTCTTTTAAGATAAGAACTATGTTTAGATGAGTTATTTTAAGAATATAAAAATGTGTAACAATTAAATAAAGAGAAATTGAATTCTTTGATAAAGTAAATTAATGCTGATTTTGATTCATTAAATAATACAATGCCTATAAATGAAATTAAAAAAGATTAAATGCGTTTTTTTATAGACATTTAATCTCACTTACTATAAATCCAACTATAACCATTAAATATAGATCAAAGTGAATAGAAGTTAAAAAAATTGTATTAAGATTAAATTAAATCCTTTGATAATTAATAGTAAACAAAAAATAATTAAGATAATACTTCAACATCATAATAAACAAACTTAAATCAACTTAAACTTTTGAAAAGTTATTTTTAATAAAAGCTATTTGATTTTTAAGAATTCTTGTAAAATTTAAATGAAATAAATTAATTTTTATTAAATTCATAAAAAATAGATGATTAAAACATTTAAATTAATCAGATATAAAAAGAAGTTATATAAACATTTTAAATAAAATATTATATGAAATTTAATAAAGATTTAGATGAAATAAAGAATTAAAAAGAGATATTATTCATAATAAATGAATAATCAATTAAATATGATATAATTTAAAATGTGATTGATTTTATTTATAATTTTGAGGATCATATTGAATAATCATTTGAAGTTGAAATTGAATTAGATCCCTTTATATGGTAATCATAATAATAAATATAATAAATGAGTAATAAGGAAAATAATAATAATGAATCAGGATCATCAGATTATAAAATAAGGGAATGTTTGGCTTTCAATATTATTAAGATTTAATAAATAATTTAAGAAGAACCTATAAATAAATTTAGTTAAAACATAATATCTTAACTTTGGATTCATGAAATAGATGAACGTGTTAAAAGAGTTCTTAAAAATAAAGAAATGATAGAATTATAAAGGAGATTGTTTTCTAAAGATATAAATACAATTTCTGAAACCTTAAAATAAACAATTCAACAAAAATTTGACTTAATTAATATGACTGAATAATAAATTTAGATGGAAATAGATATGAAAAAGAAAGATTAATTATAAAAAAAATTGATAATTATTAATTAAGAATTAGAAGAATATGTTGAAGGTATAAATGAAATGTCTTCTAAAATGGACCTAAATTTTGCTTTTTTAAAGGAAATTAAGAAATAATTACATTTTATAAAAGAAAAAATTCAAAATATTGAAAATTCAATAAATTAATTAAGTATAGATTTGAGTAGATTGACGGGTAAGAGATATGAGGAATTATTAGAAATAAGAAAATAAAGAGTATTGTTGGCTAGAGAACTTTAAGAATTAAATGAAGTTTATATTCCATTGAATACAATGATAATAGATCCTATTACAGGACAAGATTAAAAAGTATCTGAATTATAACTAGAAATTGATCATTTTCTTTATAATTAAGATTAATTGTGTGATGTAATGTTAATAACAGGTAAGGCTGGATCAGGTAAAAGCAAAGCATCTGAAAGAATTGAAGTTGAATTGTGGAAAAATCATAATAATAATTAATAATGGATTCCATTATTTATTTCATTACCAACTATAAAACATCCTTTGTTTAATATTATAGATTAAGGTTTAGAGAAAGATTATTATTAATTTGATAAGATATAAATTTAAGAATTTAAATAAGCAATTAAAAAAAAGAAATTGAAAGTGGTTGTAATTTTAGATAGTTATGATGAAATGAGATCTGAATATATTTAATCTAATTTATTTCATACTAATAAATTTATAACTGAATTTGGATAAGATATTATAGGTTCAAATTTTAAAGTTATTATTACAACAAGAAAGGAATTATTAACAGTTATGGGATATTAAACATGGTTTTGTGGAAGTAGTTTAGAAAAGATGAAAGAAATAATGTTATTAAGCTTTAATGAGGATTAAAGTTAAGATTATATCAAATAATATTGTGTATGTTGCATTAAAAGATAAATTATAAATATTTATGAGACATTAATATTCTTATAGAAAAAATAGTTTAATATAAAGGATTTATTATAAGTTTGGAATTCACTTTATGAATTTTTGATTTAAGAAACAAATTTTTAAAATACTCATTCTAATCAATTATTAAGTAATAATGAAATAAAGCATTTAATTAAATTTTTGAAATGTAAAAATTTATTTAAATCTTTAAATGATAATCACATTTAATAATTATAATAAAATCTTTTTAATATTTGGAGTATTAATAAATATTAAAATGTTATTCATAATTCTAATCTTTAAATTATATTCAACACACCTTTTATGCTGAATGTAGTTGTCTAAGTATTACCAAATTTAACAAAATAAAATTAAGAGATTTCAACATTAAAAGAATAATTTTTATAAAATTTTATTAATATTAAAAAGAATCTAATTGAATCAGAATTAATGTTTTTGAGACTAAAAAAAGAAATAGTTTAATAAGAATTTAATCTTAAGGATATAAAAGATATTGGAATGAAGATTATAATGAATTTAGATAATTAAAACTTCTTTAATATGTATTCTGAATCAAATACTTTAGAATTGATTAATGGAAAATAATTAAAGATTATGAACGAAATATTTAATATTGAATATGATGCAGAAATTGTTTATGAATCTTTAAAATAAAAGAAATTTACATCATATTAATTTTATGAATCATTTATTAGTTATTATCATGATTAATAAATAAATAAATGGAAGAAAATGGGAAAAATATATAATTATGAAACAGTTAAAGTAGATTTATAGGAATTTTCATAATCCTTAGCACTTGACATGACTAAAAATTAAGTTACATCTATTGAATATAAAATTAAAGGAGAACTTAAAATTAGAAAAGCATAACATTTTTCCTAATTTTAAGAGGAATGGCAAGATCAATACTTTAATGATTCCTATGGAGAGAAAGAATATAAAACATTAATAAGAAATTCTATGTTAATAATATAAAATGGTAGTAATTACTCATTTAGTCATACTTCAATATAAGAATTTTATGTTGCTAAATACATATACGAATTTATTTAAAGTATATAAATGGATTAAGATATGATAGTTTTATAGAGAAACTTTAATTAAGATTATATTGAGAAAATAGAATCTAGTTTATTTAACTAGTATTCATTTAATATAACATTAGATCATTTTTTAGGATGTTTAAATATACTAAAAAGTGAAATATTAAAAATAGATTAGTTAAAATTGAAATTATTATCTATAGTGAAATTATCTGGAATATATCCTAAACTTGAAAGAATTTCATCAAATTTTATTTATTTATTGAGCTATTTAAATTTTAATATGAATAATCAAGATATCAGTAATATTAATATATCTGATACTAAATTATATGGATTAACATTTTATAATTGTAATATGTAAAATACTAAATTTAATAATGTGTCTATAGATTCATGTAATTTTAATAAAGCAAATTTAAGTAATGTTGAGTGGAAAAATATCATATGTAAAGAAAAACCATATTTCTAAGGACATAAAGATTATATTAGATCTATAACAATATCATCAGATGGATCAATTTTGATTTCAGGAGGAGAAGATAATTTAATAATTTTATGGAATATTAAGATTTGTTAATAAATTTAAATATTAGAAGGACATACTAATATGGTTAGATAAGTTTGTATATCACATGATAATTTTATTTTGGCATCTGGAAGTAATGATAAAACAATTAGATTATGGTCAGTTAAAACTGGAAAGTAAATTGAAGTCTTAGAAGGACATGAAGATAGTGTAACATGTGTAAGTTTTTCTTAAGATTCAAGTTTACTTATATCTGGAAGCAACGACAATACAATAAGAATATGGAATGTTAAATCTAAATAGATTTTAACTACATTGAAAGGACATTCTGAAACAATAACATCATTATTATTATTTGATAATAGTAAAAGATTGATTTCAAGTGGATAAGACAAAAAAATTATCATTTGGGATGTAGTTAATAGATGTTAATGTTAAATTTTGTAAAATGAAAGTGAAGTACTATCTATATCTTTACATAAAGATGGATAATTTTTAAGTTCTGGATATAAGGATGGAAGAATAGTGATATGGGATATTATAGAATTGAAATAATTATGTATATTAGAAGGACATAGAAGCAATGTAAATAGTTTAGGTTTTACAAGTAATGGATAAATGCTAGCATCAGGTTCTGATGATTAATCAGTTAGATTATGGGATGTGAAAACATTCAAATAAGTAGGATATTTATAAGGACATTCACATTTTGTAACTTCTTTAGTATTTTCTCCAGATGGGATGATTTTGTTTTCTGGAAGTTAAGATAAAATAATTAGATAATGGAATGTTACTGCAACAAAATAAGATTATATTTTAGATGGACATTTAAATTATGTGTCATCACTTAGTTTTTCTCCTGATGGTTAAATGTTAGCATCTGGAAGTAGAGATTGCTATGTTCTATTATGGAATGTTTAAGAAGGCACTTTAATTTGTAGATTTGAAGGTCATACTGAAATGATTTGGTGTGTTTTATTTTCACCAATTAAAATGATTTTAGCTTCTGGTGGAGATGACCAAACTATTCGAATTTGGGATCCATAATTTTAGAAACAATTACATGTAATTAAAACTGAATGTGATTCTATTTAATCTTTAGCTTTTTCTAATGATGGTTAAGTATTAGCTTCTGGTTCTGGAGGTTTCTCCTATATTATTAAGATATGGAATCTAAAAGACTATTCTTAAATTTAAGAGTTTGATGTCCATTCTCATACAATTAATTGTTTATAATTTATGTAGAATGGTAATTTAATATCAGGAGGTGCAGATAATAAAATTTTTGTTTTAAATGTAGAAACAGGAAAGAAAGAACTTGAAATAAAAATTCATAAAGGTTAAGTAAATTCATTAAAGTTAATAAATGATATTTTAATATCAGGTAGCAGTGATCATACTATTAAATATTATAATTTAGAAGAATAGAAAGAGATTTCTATAATATCAGGTCATCAAAATACAATAACTTCAATTGCAGTAACTCCAGACTGTAAAATGCTTATATCTGGTAGTGATGATATAAGTATAGGAGTTTGGGATATGATGACTTAAAAATAATTAGCTAGTTTATAAACTTCTGATTAAGTAAAATGTATTGATATTTCCCCTAATGGATAAATCTTTGCAGCAGGATGCTATGATGGTTCTATTCATTTATACAAAATAATAGATAATCAGAAGTTTGATTGTTATAAGACTTTTTCAATGTGTCCTCTCATTTAAGCTAGGGATTGTATTTTGAAGAATTCAAAAATATAATCAAGAACTGATTCTTTGGAACCGCTTTTGATATAGAAAGGAGCGATTAAAATATGAATATAATATATTTATATATAAAATGTCGTAACTTCTAATGGTGTGGTTGAATGATGAAGTGTAGTTGAGTAGAAAGGTGACATCATTTGAAAAGGATTTTAATAATGGTTATCTATTTGGAGAATTACTGAGTAAGTTCAATCAACAACTGAATTTTGAAGAATTCTCTAATAAGTAATTATAATTTTCTAAATTTAGAGATGTAAGAGAAGCTAAGATGAAAAATTTTACTTTATTGGAACCAACATTTAAAACTTTACATATTCCATTTAATTTTCAAATTGCTGATCAAGTAATTAAAGGAAAAAAAGGTGTTGCTATGTAAATGCTTTATCAATTACAAATGGTATGTATACTAATCATAATCATAGTAATTGTAAAAAGTAAATGATCCTCATGATGTAATGATGCATGCAAAAACTGGTAAATATAATGTTATATAACCATTAATGGTTATAAGATAACCAAAAGAATAATTTGATAAAATGGAATAAGAATTCTTTGTATCTAAACTAAATGAAAAAAATAAAGCATAAAAGGATGTTAATTTAGATAAACATTTAGGAAAATTTACATCTTTTGCAATTTAATAAGCAGAAAAAGAACGTAGATTGAAAATAAAAGAAGAAACTGAAGAAAGAAATTTAAAAGAAGAAATGCGTAAAATTTAATTGAATAAATTATAAAGAAATATGGCATTTATGGAAGATTGGAATTAAAAAGGAATTGAAAATTGGAAAAAAAATTAATAAATTAGACATAAAAATAAAGTAGCTGATGATAAATTCAAATCTACTATGCAAAAAATAAGTGAAGATAGATTAATTTAAACATAATAAGTTATGAGAAGTGAAATGGAAGATTAAATTGAATAATTTGAAACTAGAACAACTCAAGAACCTGTTTCTTTAGGATTAAGAAATAAAATGATGAGTGAATTTTTAAGAAAAGAAAGAGATAAAAGAAGAAGAAAAATGATTGTTGATTAAGAAAAATAAACAGATGAATTATAAAGAAGAGAATTTACTGTATTAGAAAAACTTAAATAATAAAGTAAATAAGAAAAAGAAATTATGTATGAAATATGGAGAGCTTATTAATGTAAAGAGGTAATATTTGAAAATAGATAATTAAGAGATGAAAATTATAGAAATAAATAAGAACTTAATGTTATTAATTAAAAATTCAAAGAAGAAGAAATGTTAAGAGCATTATAATAAGAATTTAATGAAGAAATTGAATTATAATAAAAAAGATAATTAGAAATTAATGTTGAATATAAATTACATATTAGATAATCAAATTATGAAAAATGTAAAAAATTAGTTGAAATTCTTTTTGAAATTGAAGAATAACTTTATGAACATTTATAAAATAATGATTCAAATGAATTTAATAAATAATTTACAAGAGAAAATCATCATCTATTTAAATAAGGTATGGAACTTATTCCTTACAAAAGATTTAGAACTTATGATCCTATTAAAGAAATGAAAAAATAAGAAACTCTAAATTATAAACAAAAAATGTTTCTTGCTAAAATGGAAATGTAAGATTATCTAGAAGGTACTGGTGTTTGGGATCTCTATTAAGCTTAAAATAATTATACTTTAGGAAACTTAGTTAGATATCTTATAGAGAGTTAATTCTAAAATTCTACATCAGAAATACAATCTACTGATATTCCTTATGTTCCTTTTAGAGGAAGTTTAATTGGATTCTCATTTAGTGGTAAAAAAACAATAAGTGAATTGCTTGCTAAAAAATATGGTATTTAGGTATTATCAATTGATGTGATTATTAATGAATTACTAGAATATATAAAGAAATATTAATAAGGAGAAGAACATTCTTAAATTTGGGATTAATAATAATTTGAATTAGGATAACAAATATCAGAATATCTTTGTTAAGGAGAAGATATACCTGAAGAACTTTATATAAAAGCAATTGTTTAAAAAATTAAAAGGTTATTTGAAAAATAAGAATTTGAAGAGATTTATGAAGAATATAAAGCAAAATATTAATCATTTAATCCTAGGTAAAGTAGAGCTATTGATGAATTTAATGATGATGGTATAAACTGGGAAGATTTTCATAGAAATAATATGATTAATAATAAACCATATTGTAAAGGTTGGCTTTTAGTAGGATTTCCACATAATTATGAATAAGCAAAATTATTGGAAAAATATTTAACAGCAATTGAACCATAAGATGAACTCACTCCATTACAAACAAGACTTTAAGATGCTGCTAGAGTTGTGAAACCTATTGATTATGCAGTTATTCCACGTAAAAAATTGGAAAGTGGAGTGGGAGTTTGTGTCTATTTAGAAATGCCATCAAATGAGCAATGTTTAAGAAGAGCCATAGGTAGAAGGTATGATAATCATAATCATTCATTATATCATTTGGATTCCAACACTCCTCCAGTTGATAATGCTCCATTAATTGAGAGAACTAAACCATTATATGAAGTAGACAATTTATAATAACTTATCTCAGATAAAAATGCTTATTTTATGACATAGATACAAGGAATATAAAATTGGTATAATAATTTTTAATCTGCTGATAATTCAAATGCTTAAAGTGCATTTATTAGTGTAGATGCCTCGAATAATTATGAAAGAGTGTTTTATGATGTTGATAAAATATTTTAAAACTTTCTATAAATCCAAATTAACAAAATATAATAGAAATTTGATAAATAATAGAATGATCTATTAGAATAAGAGGAATTGATCAAGTAATAATAAGAGTAAGCTGAATTAGATAAAAAGTGTTAATTCAAATAAGTATAATTAGACACTTTACCTTAAAAGTAACCAAGTTAATAATTTCTTTAATATCTACATTCATTTTGGAATCAAATAGAAAGTAAATACATTTCTATCCAAAATGTTTTCAAAAGTTTTAGAGAATAAAGAGAATTTATTACAAATTATATGATGGATATTCAAAGAAAATTTATAGATCTAATCAATACTCCAGATGAGAAGTTTTATCATGTGAGAAATTTCTAGGAATAATATAATTAATTTGTACAAGATAATCCAGATTTATGTGAAGAAGATGTTTGTAAAGAAGAATTGCACTAAAGAGTAGATGATTTATATGATCAATTAATTGATATAATAGATTAGAAAAAAGATGATTTATTAGTAGAAAAATAATAAATATAAAACTCTTAATTTATTGAAAATGAAATTGATCTCTTTTTGTTATAAGTGAAATAATTATTGGCTACAGAATTAGATAGAGCATAAAATTCAGTTTAATTACTTAATGATTATTATGGAACATTAGAGGCTATAGAATTATAAGACATTTAACCTAGTGTTGGAGAATTGTAATTATAAGATGGAGATGATCCTAATGTAAGATTAGAAAAATTGATTTCTGATACTTTAAGAATATTTGCAGGAGAAGAAGAAATTATAGAAGATAAAACAAAAAAAGGAGGTAAATAACCTGCAAAAAAGGATGAAAAAAAAGGAAAGAAAGGAAAAGAAGAAGAAATTGTTAAAAAAGAACTATAAAATCCAGATGGTGTTAATGCTATCAATTTAGAAAAATAAATATTTAAAGATAGAGTAGATGCTATAAAAAGATATGCATAATAATAAATAAGATAATATAGATAAGCTGCTGATCAATTATATCTCAAAATAGATGAATGGATCTATTACACTCATTAAACAGAAATTAAAGCATTAGATGCTATCTCTGGTTTATTTAGAGGTTATATTGAAAGAGTGGAAAGAATCTAAAAGGAACTTTAATTATAATTTGTTGATGTTATTATTAGTCATGAAGTATTAAACTTCTTAACACCAATTCCTCCTCCTTTAACTGCAAGAGAACCATTATCAAAAGAAAGATATTCTATTTCTCAACTCTATTATTTAATAGAAGACTTGAGAGCTATTACAAGTACACATTTACTAATCGAAATTAAATAATTGGCTTTGCTTTTAGCAAGATCTTCTTATGGTGTATTGAAATACTCACCATCTTAATGGATGCAGGCATTATTAATTCTTGATTAAAATGGGTAAATATAAAATTCTAAATTTTAGGTATGTTAATGTAAGATAAATCTGTACATATTTAATTCTCCTTTCATCTCCTACTCCAAAAGAAGATGAGCTAAAATAATATTCAAATAAATTAGGTCAACCTTTGGTAAACAAAGATACTTTTGTTAATACTCCTGCTTGGTTTGATGATTATGAGAGAATACCAGAAGAAGAAAGTATAAAAAATATTAATCTTATTTAGATACTAATTACTTTGACCGTGTTATTTACATTAAGGAATTATTATTCTTTGTTCATAAGGATGAAAATGATATGTTAGCTACCAAATAATATATTGATATACTTAATGTTGAAGGAGATAGATTTGTAGATTATTTATTACAAAACATACAACATTAATGATATTCTATTAAATAATATTTACATATATTTGATTAGTTTTATTTATTGAAACTACTTTACTTTTATAAAAGTAATTAAAAAATACATATTAATTTGTATAACAATTAAATAAGTTTAATATAAATTTTATTTTTATCTCTTGTGTTGAAAATATTAAAAAAGTTTTTCACAACTGTTTTTATTCTAATTAATAAAATTTTTCTATTTAACAAATAAAACTCTATAATTTATTAGTGTAAAAATTATATTAACTATATATATTATACTAAAGATTAAACAAACCAAAAGATATTGGATTATCAGCATTGAAGCAATTAAATAAAAAATATATTGTTAAAATTTAATTTTTTTTTATTTAAAAAAGGCTTTAGTCATTCCATGTTTAGCTTCACAATTTCTATTTATCATTAAAAAAAAATTTTATTTAAAATTATTTAAAGAGTGTTAATAAACTTACCATCAATTGTTTACCAAATAACGCAAAAGTACTTTGAATTTGAAGCCAATTTTCTTGAGTGTTCTGCAATGAATTTATAAACTTATTAATAAATTTGATATTGTATATTCAATTATTCATTTTTGAAAACTTTATAAACAGTTTTATATAAGTTTTTCCTTAGGGAAAATAAATAATAATAGGATCTAACTATTAATATCTATATAAATTGCAACTTTAATATCACTGACATAATTAGATTTATTATGATTAAAATGTTGGAAATTGTTCTCACATTCTTTAATTTAACTTTTTAATTTCAATTCACAATGTTTTAATTATTTTATTCTTTGATTACATTGCAGAAGTAATCAATAGTTATGTATATANATTAATTCTTGATTAAAATGGGTAAATATAAAATTCTAAATTTTAGGTATGTTAATGTAAGATAAATCTGTACATATTTAATTCTCCTTTCATCTCCTACTCCAAAAGAAGATGAGCTAAAATAATATTCAAATAAATTAGGTCAACCTTTGGTAAACAAAGATACTTTTGTTAATACTCCTGCTTGGTTTGATGATTATGAGAGAATACCAGAAGAAGAAAGTATAAAAAATATTAATCTTATTTAGATACTAATTACTTTGACCGTGTTATTTACATTAAGGAATTATTATTCTTTGTTCATAAGGATGAAAATGATATGTTAGCTACCAAATAATATATTGATATACTTAATGTTGAAGGAGATAGATTTGTAGATTATTTATTACAAAACATACAACATTAATGATATTCTATTAAATAATATTTACATATATTTGATTAGTTTTATTTATTGAAACTACTTTACTTTTATAAAAGTAATTAAAAAATACATATTAATTTGTATAACAATTAAATAAGTTTAATATAAATTTTATTTTTATCTCTTGTGTTGAAAATATTAAAAAAGTTTTTCACAACTGTTTTTATTCTAATTAATAAAATTTTTCTATTTAACAAATAAAACTCTATAATTTATTAGTGTAAAAATTATATTAACTATATATATTATACTAAAGATTAAACAAACCAAAAGATATTGGATTATCAGCATTGAAGCAATTAAATAAAAAATATATTGTTAAAATTTAATTTTTTTTTATTTAAAAAAGGCTTTAGTCATTCCATGTTTAGCTTCACAATTTCTATTTATCATTAAAAAAAAATTTTATTTAAAATTATTTAAAGAGTGTTAATAAACTTACCATCAATTGTTTACCAAATAACGCAAAAGTACTTTGAATTTGAAGCCAATTTTCTTGAGTGTTCTGCAATGAATTTATAAACTTATTAATAAATTTGATATTGTATATTCAATTATTCATTTTTGAAAACTTTATAAACAGTTTTATATAAGTTTTTCCTTAGGGAAAATAAATAATAATAGGATCTAACTATTAATATCTATATAAATTGCAACTTTAATATCACTGACATAATTAGATTTATTATGATTAAAATGTTGGAAATTGTTCTCACATTCTTTAATTTAACTTTTTAATTTCAATTCACAATGTTTTAATTATTTTATTCTTTGATTACATTGCAGAAGTAATCAATAGTTATGTATATATACTTAAAAATTGAAATTTAAATCATACTCTAATTTTCGCAACTTATAACTTTTATGAATTAAATTTTATTACCGTTTTGAATCAGTTAGAATAGTTACTCAATTTAAAATTGAATTGTATTCTATGTAGAATTAAATATGAATATGAAATAACATATTTATTTCTGTTTTAATTTTGATAAATAAATTATTATTTGTTTAAATAATTATATTTATTCATGAATGTTATGATAAATTCATTAAAATAATATGATATTTTTTTATTTTTCAATGATTAAGCCTTGATATCACATTACTTTTATTCCTTATTTATTTTTAAATTATAATATAATTATATTATATTCTCACTTAAAATTATTATTTATTGAAAATTCTCATAGATTAGATGGAGCATATATTAATAAAGTCTGAAAGTGCTGAGAATTATGGATCAATGGAAATGTCTCCTGAGTGTAAACCAAGACCACTTAATGATAACCATACATTTGGGGAATATGTGATCATAGCTAAAACGATATTTTTAGGACCTCATTGTAAAATTATATTGTTATTAAAATAGGGCCTTTATTTGCTGGTACATTGATTGGATTCAATATATTTGCCTATTTAATGATGAGACAATAAATAACTTAAGGTCATGATATAACTTTTGGAATAATTATAACAATTGTATAATCAATATTTTATTTGGGTGTTGGATTAGCAAATCCAGGAATTGCAAATGATTCAACTTTGAATTATTAATATCAAGGATAGTTGTACTCATTACCCAATAAACCATAATAAAGAAATGTATGGTATTGTGAAAAATGCTAAAAAATTTAACCTGCTCGTTCTGATCATTGTCCATTTTGTAGAGTATGTATTACAAATTATGATCATCATTGCCCTTGGACAGGAAAATGTATAGGAGGTGAGAATATATTGCATTTTTGGGCTTTTCTTATATCAACAATTATTTTCTTCTCCTATTTTATTACAATATTGTTGAATTAAAGAGAGGAAGCCTAAAAATAATGAATTAATTTATTTAGGTTAATTATATCATTAAACTTCTTTATTAAACTTCAATAATTTTATAAATTAGCTCAGTTGTACTTAGTTGGTATTTGACATCATAATTGCCAAAGTTGTCTCTATTTTTCTTCTTCTGCAATAAGGTTTTCATAAAAAGTAATGAGAATTTAAAATAATGTAATAATCATTTTCTCCACATTCTAATAGTTTCGACTAAGAGACTCTTTGCTGTTTGCTTATATATTCTTTTAGCATCAGCATACTATAATTATTATTATTTAGGCAGAACAATATTGGGAAAATAAGAATGTTAGATTAGATCTAAAATTAGAAAATTGCTTCACAGTCGATAATTATATTTGGAGAACAACAAATTAGTTTAAAAAATATTTTAGAGAATTAAAAAACAGGATATTAGTAATATATTGTTAGAAGAAGAAGACTGATATTAATTTTGTAAAAAGACTAATTTTTCTTTGTTCTATTAATAATTTTATGATCACATAATATTATCTATAAATAGAAATGCTATTATGAATTTAAGAAGAGATTCATATCAATAAGGGTACAAATAATAACTTGCATTTTTGACAATATAAACCCAAGATGTAAAAGTATTGTATTACAAAAAGGATTTTTATTGAGAATCTTTTTTAGAACTCAAAATTTTGTTTCTTTGTTGGTCTTAATGAAAAGTATTTATTTTATGAGATAAAACTATATATTCTATTTATATATTAATTAGAATATAGCTTAGGATCTTTATATATGTCAAGGAATTATTTTTGAAGTTATTATGGTATTTAATAAAAGTAATTGATATTCTTTAAATTCTGAATTTATAACAGGATTCAGAGATTTTGATAGAAAATTAATAGAAAGTAATAAAACTTTAATAAGTGTATTAGTCTAAAAGTTAGAAAGTAGAAAAAATGAGAAGAATTGATCTATTGATTTTAGTTTTATGTTTTAAGAAATATAATTGAATTTTTAAATTGTGTTTTCAAATTATTTATTCAACATAGGAATCGTACATAAATAGATTTTTCAATGGATTTGTGAAGTATTTTGGGGTACTAATTGATACTCAACATTTGAAATTATATCATTTGAGGCTGTTGAAATAATTCTTAGCTTTGAAATCTTACCTGATTGTAGTTCAGTGTATGAGCACATCTTCGATCCAACCTAAATAATTTATTTCTTTTCCTCTCGAAGATGGAATATAATAGTTTTAGCTGTGGCATACTTGATTTAAAGTTTCTTTGCAGCCTATTAAATTCAATATTCAGTATCATACTTCTTTAATTTTAAACCCTTCCTTGAGTACAAGTCTAGACAGTTAATCCTTAGAAATAGGAGGTACTTTTATGTATGTTCTCTTATATTCTTAGAATATGCCTGGGACTATATTAGAACGGGGCCTTAGTTCCTTTTTTTAAGGCAATTTATTATATTGATCACCCTTCAAAGGTTTCTACTCGCCCTCTTCCATGAGATTCATCTAATTGAATATTAATATTTAAAAATCTTTATAAATATCCAAATTCGAGCAAATCAGCCCTTAGTGCGTCATGGTTCAGCTGTATTTATTACTTTTACTGATAAATTTTTTATAATACCTCTTAAAATCGCAATTTATGTAATTCAGAACGTGTTTGTTACTGATTGGTAATATATTTATGAGAAAAATATTAGGACTAGAAGAGAATCAACCCAAAATTTAATATTTTAATATTAATATAAAAATAATCAAATGTAATTTGAATCTTATATTATTCTTGAATTATTAAAGGTTTCTCTATATTATTAATAAATGTTCTTTTAGATTCCAAAAATCAATCAACTCTTTAAGTTTTAATTAAAAAGTGACTTTTTTTATTTTTATTTCTTTATTTTTAGAATAAGCAATATAAGTTTAATTTAACAGTTCAGAATCATTTACATTAACATTATTTTATAATAAAGTAATAATTTAATCAACATAAATAATTAAATATTCTTCTCATTTATTTAAAAGACCAAGAGGAAAATATGAAATATTAATTTATTTGTAAATATGATATTTTTGGGTTTTTCTTTTATAAATAGGTATTTCTTTGTATACATAAATGATAAGGTTGATTTCTTAAAAAAAAAAAGAAGTTTTATTAAAAATTGTATATTATAATTACAGCTAAAACTATTTATATAAAAAAGAAATAATATGAAATTTTAGTTTTGATTTAATTTTTTGAATTAAAATGAAGAGATTTCTGTTGATGAGAAATTACTTTTGGTATAGAATTTGAAAGGAAAAAATATTGAAATGATTTTATCAATTTAAAGGTTAAATTAAGTGTTAAGGATTTTGATTTTTATAATGAAATAGTATATTGAAGTTGGTTATGCTCTTTCAAATAGAGTAAAATGCTAGAGTTGTCTTTAGAACATTGTTAAGGATGATATCAGAATAGGACATGTATTAACTAGACCTCCTGGTTTTGGTTTTGATAAGAAAATATGGTATCATTTACTTTGTCTTACTTCAATAAAGGGAGATAGAAACCAAGATTTAGATATAGTTAATATTCATAGTTTGAAGGAAGGGGATTAATAAAAAGTAAAGTAGAAAGTAGATTAGATAAAGAAAAGTAGCTACTAAAAAAGTATATATATTGTATATAAATATTTGTAGAAGATTAAAAGGAAGTGAAATATTTGTCCAAATAGGAACACTTTCAAAATTATGTGAAAATTTAAAAGGATTTACATTTTAATTAAAAGCTTCGACAATAGGCAATGTTTTTTTAGAAAATGGATTAAACTGATGAATAATGGTGAATATTATAACATTATAAATTAAAAAATAAAAGATTATATATTCAGAATTTATATTTTTGATTGACTCCAAATCCTAAGAATTTTCCAATTTTAGGAGCAGCTAAACATTAATGCAATTTCATATTGTTAATAACTTCAGGCATTGATCTATCCCTAGTTAATTTAGAAGTCACAGATCCTGTAACACTATTATTATCTATTCTTGATAAACTAGGTGGCTATTATTTTGAGAGATATTTATAGAATTATGTTGCAGGAATAGATGGAAGTTCTGATTTTATAGGAGTCTTAAATTCCTATATGCTAAGACTTTCTTATCTATCCATAAGAATAGG